TAGCTTTGAAAATCCAAGAGGGGATTCGTATTTTAGCTACCAACTTGGCATTGGAACATTGGCAGTCGCCCCCCTAATGAACACTTCATCAAGTGTGACCTGTGCAAATGTGTTCCACGTGGAGTTCCATACACAGTGACAATTAATTTGTAGAGTTTATGCAAGCTATAATCCACACAACTCATGACACAAGTAAAAGACATCTAAATTAACATTCTCACATATAGTTATAGCAGATATTGAACTCCAAATCATCGCAAACAATAGAGAGCACGGAAAGAGGCCATGTAGAAGAAGGCTAGAGCCCCCAGAATCCCCTGCACACTAATATTATTACACACTCACAATAAGGCCTGCATTTAATTTTTATTCTGCAAAAGAGAAATTAACACGACAGAGTCGGATAACAGAACAGCTGACTCAATCCACCTCCTATTAGTTAACCTCAAACCCATGAACAGCCCAAAACCTTCCTGCCGACAATGCTTCCGATGCCACAACCACTTCAATCCTAGCAGCAGCCACTATCAGCACCTGCTATTACAAAAGCAATAAATTATTACATATTTGAAAATGAATCAAATTACCCTCCAATGACACAAAGAAAAACAAAAGAAAACAAAAACCTATAAAGATGAAACATACAATCTCTGAATCATGGAGGACTCAATGAGCTCTCAAGTTCCTGGGTTAGGGGTACCTGGGCTGTCATAGGTAACCACAAATTCATACCATCAGCATAGAAAGTAAACTTTAGACATTTATGGCCATTTTGAAGCAAAACCAATCCGAATAGACCATCTTAGATAGGTCAGGTGAAAAATAAATAAATGATTTATGTTCTTCAAACATAATCAGGTTCAAAAAAACAAATGATTTGCCTTCTTCAAATAATTTGTTACATTAATTTGTCCTGCTTGTATATGAACTGGTTGAAGGTTAGATATGCTGACCACCATTTCGTAACGATTGTTCTCACAAATTATGTATGTATGCATCATTGATGAAAATAAGTAAGACGATGAGAGCTATAAAAAAGTTAAAGAAGCAGTCGACCATATTGATGGAAAGGAGATTGGAAGAAGAACATTTAGCTCAGATTTTGCTATTGTAAGGTCAGGTTTAGAACTGAATAAACCAACCATTAGATGAATTCTTTTAATTCAAGTAGTTCGGATACACTTGAATGTGAAATTTTTCTTTGGGCAAGCTTTCTTTAAAAAACACAAAAAACAATTCAAAGAAAATATGTAACGGACATCTAGTCCACTCGTGGCATGGAAGCCGGAGCTTCTTTGTGGGAGTTATTTTTGCTAGACATAGCATTGGGCTTGCATTTGATAAGACGGATTAAGATTCAACACTCGATGGTCAAGGAGAGTTTAGCAAGGCTAGACATTTGGTCCAATTCAAGTGCCTCACAGGCAAATATGTTCCGTTGTGCCTCTAAAAAGAGCCGGCTTGTGACACTTTGCAACGTCATCATGTGGCTGGCTTCTCCACGAGTCCGAATTTGCTGAAGTTGAATATCTCAACTTCACGGTGAAGTTGATCAATTATTGGACTAACTTGGATTCACTTCAGTGATCTAAGCCATTCATCTTATACAATAACTAAGAAAATTATCCATGCAAAATATCAAATTGATCTAACATCAATTGTCATACTATTAGACCATTTTTATCTATACGGCCTACATGTTTTAAAGAATAGACTGTCCATGTGCTATAATGTATATGTGATTTGATCATGTGATTACTTATGTCTGATCAATCTAATTTTTTGGATACATGTTCTTCTCAGCTTGTCATATGAAATGAACAGTTTAGATCATTGACATGGGTACAGATTAGTCCCACAATGCGCCAACTTTACGTATGAAGTTCAAATGTTCAACTTTAGCAAATCCAAACTCACTTCTCCATAAGGCTCAAGCGTCATATTTTTGACTCGTGAGGTGACACGTAGGTCAATCACATATCCCCAATTCCTCCCCTAGAGAGTCAAGACTCAAGACATGCTAGCCAGGCTTAGGCATTAATCAAGGCTGCTCAAATATCTTCCTCTTTTTTTTTCTTTTTCTTTTTTTATCAGCAGCCAAGGAAATTTTATTAATAAAAAAGGAAGAAAACAAGAAGAGGACAACCAGGCACTCTCCTCTTGAGATTACCCTCGCCACCAAGATCATGACAAACTAATGTGTAGCAAACCAAGCTTTCTTAATCCCCAGTCTGAAGTGTCTCATCATTGCTACCTACCACGGGAGAGGGATGTTAGGACTCGTGAAGGAAAATGCCCCCACTAAGATTTGGAAAAAAATTTACTATAATCACTTGTATTGACTTTGAAAAATAGCCTATGCAAGACAATTTGGCCTCACTCACATTTGGATTTTGCCCCCACTATGTTATGTCCCCCCACTCTTTTTAAGAAGTAATATAAGAATCTCTCCCATTTATCCCAAAAAATAAAAATATCAATCCCATTCCTCTCTACATAACTCTCTCCTATGTAGCTCCTCTAATCCATGTTTGTTTGAATGGACTAAATAAAAAGGGATTGCAATGCAATGAACTATTAGTCCTGGAATAAATAGTCCCTAGACTATTTCGTTGGAAATGATATGTATCTCATATTTGTTTGGTCATGGGATTAAATGTTTGGAAATGGCTATCCTAGTGAATCTCATGTTTGGTTAGGAAATTATGAAGAAAGATAACTTCTCAAAAGACCATTTTGTCCTTTTGTTTACTAAGCAATGGCAATGCTAAATTTGAAGTATATTTGATTTTATTTTACTAAAACCACTTTTTAATTTTATTTAAATACGAGTTTAGAAGTATATTTTCATTTATGATTTTGCTAATACAAAAAAAAAAAAAAACAAACAAACAAACAAACAAACAAATAAATAAATAAAAACAAACAAACAAACAAACAAGACTATCATTTATAACGAGATTAATTTACACGTTTAAAAAAATAAATAAAAAAATCCAGCATGTTTAAAAAGAGTGAAGAGATGTGATACAGTGACGATTAGATAGAAGTGTTAGGGGAAGGAGTAGACCTAGATTGACGTGAGTTAGTGTAATAAATAGAGATATGAATCTCGTTAAATTGACTAACCAAATGGCCTTTGATAGAGTTGGGTAAAGAAGAAGGATTCATATAGCCGACCCCATTTGATAGGACTTAAGGCTTGGTTTGGTTTGTTTTGGTTAACATGTCTTAAAAAAGAGTGTTGTTATTACCACACCAATTAATACTTTGGACCCCCCATGTCATTCTTTTCTTTTATTACAATAATAACCTCAAATAAAATTACTAAAAAGGACATGAATTATTTTGGGACACCCCATCTCATAATTAAATCTATCCACCCACTAAATCATAACACAGGGTTTATGAGAGGATCCACCTTAATCACCACCCACACACTTCAAAACCCTCAAAACCTTCAAAACCCTCTGGCGGCAACGGCAACGGCAACAACTATTCAACAGTATACACTTCTCCAGTAATGGCAATGAGAGAGTTTTTCCGGCAACCCCAATACCATGAGACGAATAGAGCATCACAATGTAAGCTCAGAGGAGGTTCACAACTTGGATGATGTTCGCATCTCGGAGGAAGTTGACCTTGTAATGATAAGTTTTTTCAAAAAAAACAAAAATTTGGTGAAAACGGTCCTACTTTTTTTCAAAACTGAACTCCCAAACATATGCCAAAAAAATAGTAATACGTGGCCAAATTAAAGGCATTAGTTTAGCAACGTCTAACCGAACATTATTCATATGTTCGGCACTTTGAATGTAACCTTAATCCAAACTCACGTTTTGGTTATGCGATAAACTTTAGTTTTATTTGTTAATCAAACTAGTTTATGCATACTTATCTTTGTTTGTTAAACTTTGATGGGTCAAACTTGTTCATAGACTGATAACTTTACGTTTTTATAATGCTCAACAACACAAGTCCGAACATAGGTAATTTCTTCGGCAACATAGGTCCAAACATGGCGGTGGAGAGATCAACGGCAGAGAGAGGTCGACAGTGAAGGACTGGCTACGACAAAGATCAACGGCTCAGCTCTCGACAGTGAGAGGAAGATTGGTGAGTTCAACTGATAAGGGTTTTGGGAGATGGGAGTTTTTAGGTGATGTGCTAAGGGGGGTGTGTATTTTGGTGGGTGTGATATTTTTAGAAGGATAATTTTGGTTTTTATTATTTGGAAGGTTCTTAGAAATTGTTAGGATTTTGAATTTTGTAGGTGGGGATTCCAACAAATGGGGGGTCCAAAGTATTAAGTGGGGGCTGATAGTAGCACTCTTAAAAAAAATGAAAGAAAGAAATGTTATGTACTTGGGGGTTCAATTTCGTCATTAAACTAGCTAATCTAGAGGTTGGCTCAATCCACTCATTTCTGTCCCACACAACCTGTTAGTCTGACCAGATTATTAGTCTGACTTTCACTTTTCTAACTAAATGTTGGACTAGTTATTCTAATGGACATGGAGTCCAATCTCATGGCTCTATCCCACCAAACAAACACCCTTTTTAAGAAAATTTGTTTACAAATTAAAATCTTGCTAGTCATGTAAATTTATCTTTTATTTTTACTTTTCAAGCAGTAATTGAGATAGTTATGAAAAATTCCATAACTGTCATTGAGGACAATAATATGCATAGATTTAGGGTTTAAATAAGAAAAAACATTAACCCTTTAAAAAAAAATTTATTTACTATCAAATAGGAAAACATTTCACGTATGGTTCAGATTTTGCCTCCTTTGGAAAAATACCATGGCTCCATCCTTGGCTACATAGGTTGGGAGCAAGGACTAGGCATCTTGCTAGAGATCAATAGAGGACTTGTGGCCTAGAGGCTAGAGTCTAAGGGTTCGTCTTAGTGCCTCACCAACTCTTTCCTGAAGGTAGAACATGTCTAGGCCAATCTTACAAAGACACTAGGCATTTACAAAGGCATGTGACACCTCGAAGGTTGAATTATACCCATGGTTTTAAAAAGTGGCCTCAAGGTTGTAGTAGTTACCACCACCCGCTACGACCGCTATAGCAGTGTGACAAAAATTTACAACTGTAATGTCCACCACCGTTACATAAAGGCCATAATGGCCGTTACATTGCCGCTACAGCACTGTTACGGTTGTTACCACCACTACACTTATTTTTTATGTAAGGTTATTTTCTCTTTTTTATTTTCTAGTTGTTAAAATCACACAAAAATGCACAAAACTTAAGTAAAAATCTCAACTCTACATGTTTTTGAATGTCCAATCTTCAAGTTCTACAAGACTCGAGTTGCTACCAAGATTAATTAAATGAGCTTACTTCTCTCTCTCTTTTCAAACTTTCATTACTTTATATTTTTTATTTTTATTATTGACAAGCTTTCATTACTTTTTCACTTAATTCTTTAGATATTAACTTAGATCTATTTCCTCTTACGTTAAGTTTATTGAACAAAATTTAGATTTCATGTTATGTACTTTTACTTTATTATATTCATATTTTGTATTTTGAACTTATGTTTATGAGACTATTATTTTTAATTTTAAACATATTTTGTTTTTTTCCTTAACAAGTTGGAAGTTATCCACAAGTACATAATTAGTATAGCAAAGAAAATTAAATAATCCAACAATAGGAAAAATCTCCACAATGACTTAAAACTAATATAAAAATTAGTACATATATTGGATCATGTTTAAAAACTAAGAAAAACATACCAAAATTATTTTGAACTTCACTAAATGTGATTTTGAAATAAAAACATGCATATTGGTATGTTTTCCTAAAGTTGCGCGAAGAAATAAAAAAAAATTCACGATTCTGGTTGCCGCCACTGTTACGCTACAGCCGTTACATTGCGCAACCGCATTAACACTACAATTACCGTTACAGTGTCCGCCACAGTTATTTAAAACCTTCATCATACCTAACACTAAGCTTCTATGACATCTTGAAAGATATATCATACTTACCTATTGTCAACTCCATCATACATTCCTCAAGGTTTGGCCTCAAATGAAAAGGTAGCCAAGATACATCTGTGAAGCAAAATTCCACATTACCCAAGTACTAAAGTAATGTTAAGCATATAAACATGAGGGCAACCTCACCTCTTGAGCTAGTTTTTGAGGTTAAAAACTACACAAGACTATGCAACATGGTATCAGAGCACCCTCACAGGTGTTGTCGAGTGAGCAAACTAGGCATGAGGAAGGGTGTGAAATGAAGTCCAACATCACCCAAGTATTAAAATAATGCTAAGCATATACACATGAGGGCACCCTCACCTTTTGAGTTAGATTTTGGGGTTGAGTTCTACCCCAAGACCGTGTAGCATGGTATCAAAGCCTGAGAATTCAAAGATTGGGTAGGATGTGTGTCCTTGGCCTGCACAATGCAAGTGTTGCCGAGTTAGCATGTTGAAGTCCCATATCGCCCAAGTACTAAAGCAATGTTAAGCATATAAACGTGAGGGCACCCTCACCTCTTGGGCTAGCTTTTGAGGTTGAGCTCTACCCAAGACCGTGTAACAACATCCATATTGTTGAATTAAGGTGTGGAGCCATCTGTCCTAAGCTATGTTGGCAACCAAGGTTTGGCCACCTTATATTAGGGAGCCTCCTCCATGCATGCAATTAGCGTCTCAACCTCTCCTATCTCTCAAGCAAAGCATCAAGCTCTCCGCTACCACCTTCTCTCTCTCCAAGGGTTGCATGTCCTCCGCCTCCGGTGATCGCCAACCATGTCAATGTCTACCATCTTCCTAAAGTGCCTCCCTCAACCACACCATCTCTTCACCATCCACAACAATCAAGCACTATCATCAACTTCATTACCCATATGCTATGTAGCAAAGGCACATACATAGCACATGTACACGATATAACACAAAGACGTTGACTAATGACGGCAACAAGGCAGGGATAGGTCAAGGGACCCTTACCCACCCCCATTTATGAACATCACCCCTATACCCCTCCCCGACACCCGCCCCATCCCCACTTAGTGTAACCCCACGCCATCCAGATTCGAACAACCTAGTTGACACTCCTGCAACTTGAATCTCATTCTTCGAAAGCTATCACAACTTGAAGTCAAGCTATGTCACACAGTGGAGGCAACAATTACGGTTGGCCACATATCAGTTCGAAATCAATTGTAAATTGAAACGAAATTTTTTCTACTATTGATGAATCACACTCAAATCCAGAAAAGATTAGGAATCAGTCCCTAGCTCTGATACAAAAATGATGGAATCAAAATCAAAGAGAGGAGAAATCATAGAGAGAGAAAGTCTCAATTGAGATCTAGAGAGAATCTCTGAAAATATCTATTCCAAAATGATCGAAGGTTGGTTATTGGACACCCACATTCCCATTTATAGTCAACCAACTCTGCCACCCACTAACACATCAACTAAATAATACAAATCGAATGACATGCACATATTTACTTGTATCATAAAGCCAAGCTTGAGCAACAATGTGCTCACTGCTCAGAACTATTAGGCTCAAAAAAAAAAAAAAAGGGCTACAGTGCAATTGAAATGGAAGTACAAATAAACTTGAACCTACATAGTAGAAACAAATTATAATTTCTGAACTCCAACTTGGAAATTAATCCCATGAGGTCAGCAAACAAGGTTAAGGTCCCCAAATTCAAATAAGCCAAAATCGAACAATTTGAAAGGTTGGGTATGAAGCTTTTTACGAGCGAACAAATCAACATTTTTATCTTCCCATCAATAACCGTTGTTTCATTTTGTTATCAAACGAGTAATAGAGTAATACCCAACTCACTTTTTGTCTTAGTTTCGAATTTCACACATTCAATTCAAAGGTATTATGAGAAGAACTAGATAATTTTCAGAAACAATTCGCTTAAAGCATAGTTTACAAGTATAAACTATCACGCATTAAAGGTTTGAGTTCACCTTGAGACTCTTCTCCTATGGCCGGAAGGTTCTTATCGGCATTATACACCTGTAACTCCATTATTGCAAATCAATCCACCTACATATATATATAGAGAGAGAGAGAGAGAGAGAGAGAGAGAGAGAGAGAAAGAGAATCAGAGAGGTAATTTTAGAACAAATGACTTTTGGTTTCTTCAGCCAGTCGACCCGCTAAGAGACCCTTGGGTCTTAAATTGAACATAAGGAAATTTTCCTTTCTTTTATTATTATTTTAATGAAAAATGGTAGATATTTTAAAAATTCTATTAAAAATTTTATTAAATGCCTCATAATTTACATTATAGGTCCATATTTATACCATGTGAAATATTTGATAGAAATTTTGGAAGAATTTTTGAGTCTCTATCATTACTCTATTTCAATTAAAGTGTAAATTTAATATGATGAAATATAGAAATAAAATTACCTTCTTGTTTATTGTTGTACAAATGATATAATTAACTAAAATAAATAGATTCATAATTACCTAAAATAAATTGACTTTTTTATCATTTTATTGTATTGTGTATTTTTATGCAATATATCTTATTCTGTAATGTTAATTTGATTAATCGTGAATCTATATATTTTAGTTAATTACATCATTTGTGCAACAATCTTAAAACAAATTAGCCGCCTCACCGTGGGTGCTGACGGCACGTCGGCTTCTGTCTCCCAAGATACAACGGTTTAAACTGGCTAACACAGAAGTACCTTCTGTTGGCTTTGGCGAACCGACAATGGCAGCACTCTCTCACACAAGAAGAAAATTATAGGAGTAAATTGACTGTATATTCTACAGCAAAAACTTTGTGTCAAACCAAGGAAGATGAGCCTCATTTTATATATAATGGGGGAGAGAGGAGGAGCCTCCAGCCGTCAAGGCTGGCACCAAATACAGGCCATTATTCCTGCAAAACTGTTGGAGTAATGCACCAAAACTGATGGGTCAATTAGTGTATAAATTATATACTCTATATACACATTTGTGTGTATCTGAAGCGGACCTGGCCAAAAAGATTAGGTTGGTGGACCACTAATCCCGCCCAGCCCAAACCTAACACATTCCAGCAAGCCTCAAGCTCAAGCCCAAGCCCAAGCCTAAGATCCATGGTCCACAAACCACGGACCCGGACTCGGACTCGGACCTAGCCCAGTCCTGGCGAGCGAGCAGCGCAAGCGCACAAGTGTGGCAAATTTTCCATAACTAACTTGGACTATAGTTTTGTCCCAAGCTCATCCTTGAAGCATCCATAACTCCTTTCCTTTGGAAAATTTGGATGCCCCAAAGGGCTTATACCCTTATCAAAATCTTGAGGTTTAAATGCCCATCAAAGTTTTCCTCCACAATCAATGTGGGATTAGTAGTTATACATAATTCCCAATACCTCATTCATGAGGCCAACTTTATGAGACAATTTTTCATTTAATTATTAATGATTTTTTGTCATTCTTTTTGTGGTGTAAAGATTTTATTCCAAAGAATCTAAATCCATTTAATCCTACCTTAACCAATAGTTAGGACATACTTTAATTTCTCATTAAAATCACCATAAAACCATTTTTTTCCAACAATCCCCCACATGAATAAAAATTGACCGAATAAAGAAAAGACAACGTTTATAACAAAGACTCGGAGAGAGTGCAAACAGACTAACCCTGCATCAGAAAATGTAGATGTTAGCCTTGAACCTTTCATAGTGAAAGCCTATCGGATTTACTGGCTAACCAGTGAATGTGATGTCTTGAACTGTTCTGCCGATTGTGTAAACCAAGACAATAGACCTTGCACAAGAGTTAGTCCAACCATTGTTCTTGTTCTCACTGGTGTGTCCAATGTGGCCCTAGAACACTAGCTTGGTTCAATGAGTGTTTTTTAAAGAATTTGGCCTATCAATTCTTAAAGAAGTGGCCCAACTTCGCACTCACATTGCTGACCTATATAAGGTATCTCATTATACCACGGTTGATTATTCATATCACTTAGGTCATTAAAAGCATTAGCTTAACCTTCCACCCCTACAGGGTATCACTGTACAAAGAAATGGCCAAGAAGATTTACCTCTTTAATGACTCACCTCGTTACACGAAATTAAGTTGTCCTTTTGAACCTGGATCTTAGGATCTCCAGTCAACTAGGTTAGGTTTTTCGTTCCGGTAAACATTACTAAAGGTCTTAACCCCATTCCTGTTGACGACGTTTCTGCTAACTCTTGAGTTAACCCTTTGGTTAGCAGTTTTGCAATGTTGTCCTTAGACTTTACATAGTCTAAAGAGACAATTCCATTGGAGAGTAATTGTCATATGGAATTATGTCTACAACGGATATGTCTAGACTTTCCGTTATACATATTACTCGGTGCTCATCCAATCGCCGATTGGCTATCATAATGAATATAGATAGTTGGCGCAGGCCAACGTGGAATATCCTCAATGAACTAGCAAAACCATTTGTAGACACCCCATTTTTGACCGACCTTAAGACTCAGACGTCATCGATTGAGCGCTCGGTGATTGTGCGTGTTGTGCCTTGCCTCCGAGCCTCTAAACTCTTTGTGCTTTGGCTCGGTTTGTGGACTAAGCCTTGCTTCCCTTCCCTGGAGGAAGGGAGAGGTCTTGTAGACCACTTTTTGTGGTCGTAGACCACTTTTTCTTCTTGAAGACTAGTTTCCGATTTTCGGAGCCTTCGGCCGCGCGCCTTGTCTCAAGACTGCTTAACGTTCTCCGTTTGGCTTGGTTTTTGAACCATGCCTTGTTAATCTTGCCTAGAGGGACACTGTGGTCTTGTAGACCACTTTTTGTAGTCGTAGACTACTTCTCCCTCGTTGATCGCTTTTGGTGCCCGTAGACTAGTTTTCGAGGTTTCAGGCTGCACGCCTTGCCTCCCAGACTCTTGTCTTGCTTTCTTTTTGGTTTTTTTTTGGCACAAACCTTGTTTTCTTTGCTTGGAGGGTGGAATTCAGGACTGCTTAACGTTCTCCGTTTGGCTTCGTTTTTGAACCATGCCTTGTTAACCTTGCCTAGAGGGACACTGTGGTCTTGTAAACCACTTTTTGTAGTTGTAGACTACTTCTCCCTCGTAGATCGCTTTTGGTGGTCGTAGACTAGTTTTCGAGGTTTCCGGCTGCACGCCTTGCCTCCCAGACTCTTATCTTGCTTTCTTTTTGGTTTGTTTTTGGCACAAACCTTGTTTTCCTTGCTTGGAGGGTGGAATGAGGGTTAGAAACCAGTTCTTCCCCTTGGAGACCACTTTTCTTGCCTGCCAGCCAGTTTTATGGTTGGCCAACTAGTTTGGTCTTTGGACCACCAAAAGTGGTCGGCCACCACACCATTGGCTTGCTTTCATTGTGCAGACCACCTCCTCCCACCTGCCAACCACTTTCTTTCCTGGCAGACCACTTGTGGTGGTCGGCCCAGCTTTTCAGCACCTTTTTGGAGATCTTTTGGTGCCAGCTGTAACAGCTAGACGGCACGAAAATTATCCTCCATACATGGCTTAGAGCCTTAAGTGTGTTCAACAAGCTTCTTGCTTGATTTTCTATAAAAGAGAGGCCCTCTCTCTATTCTCCAGGTTTAGAAAATCTGGCCTGAGCTATAGATATGCATCTATCTCTATATCTCTCTCTTTGTCTCATTTTTGTGTTTGAAAGTGTAGTTTTTCCACACTTTTGCACACAAACACATAGTGAAACACCATACTCTTGGAGCTGAGGCACTTTGAAGTTGGTTTTTGTATTTTTGGACTGGTTTTGATCAAAAAAAGCTACTGGAGCTGTTGCTCTAAAGTGGTTCTACAAGGGTGAGCTTCTAACCTCTTAATCCCTTGTTTTTTATTAAGCTTTTGGCCCTACTTGCATGTTGTTTTAGGCCTAACTTTCTACTACAAAAAGTTTTGATTTTGCATACTTGTAATGTTTGTTTAAGGTCTCTTTTGTGTTAGGGGTGGTCTACCCCCTCTTGTGCCTTGTTTGGCTTTGTTTTACACCATCACTTTAGGCCCTTGAGATCACTTTCTCTTGGCCTTTTGACCACTGAAATCCAGTGGATTTTCAATGGTAAAACTTGTGTTTTGAGGTCTTAAATAGGAGAGGGTCATCCCCTCTCCTTGTTTCTTGTTTACTTGCTTTGTATGCCTCATGTTTGAGCATGTTTGTTAAGCTTGTGTTGGCTTATTCTTGACTTGTTTTTAGGGTTATTTTGACATGGCATACCACTATTTTGGCTTGGTTTGATAGCCCCATGCATGCTCCTTGCACTTGTAGTACATTTTCATTCACTAGCCTAATGTGTATCATGCTTTTGATCATCATTCTAGCATGCTTTTGGCTCAACTCTAAGAAACTTTTGGCCATGTTTTACCATGCTTAAGGTCTGATTTGTGTTGTTTTGGTTATGCATGCATTGCTTTGTATAGCCATGGTTCAATCTTGCTCATTAGCTTTGTGTATTGAGTCCATTAGCACGCATTGCTTGGACTATTTTCATGATTTGGCATCGTTTGAAATGTTATTTCAGTACATTTAGTGTGGCCATACACTCACATCTTTCACTCTTTCAATGCTTTGAAGAGTTTGTGCTTTATGCCTTAAACATGAGTCGTTGCGTATGCTTTCATGCCTAAATTTGCGAGCTATCATTTCAGTGTGTTTTTGGGGTTATTTTGCCATGATATAACTCTAATTTTTGTTGGCAAAGCCATCTTATGCTTAGTCTTAGTAGGTGTAGTGTAATCCTCCCTTTTGGCCTTGCATATTTCATGTTTCATGCTCACCATGCTAACTTATTTTTTAGTATCATTTTGATATGCTATAGGACTATTTTGGGTTGTATTTGCCATATGCTTCATGTATTGCATAGTTGTAGTGCAATTGGCCTTGCTAGCCTTGAGTTTTGAACCTCATAGCATACTTCATTTTGTGTCATGTGCATGATTTGGCATCATCTAACATGTTATTTCAGAGCATATGGCATTGCCATATTCCCACTTCTTTCACCCTTTGAGCGCCTCTAAGGGTTGTGCATTGTTGCCTTGTTTGTGGGTTAGCTTGTATGCATGCATGCCTAGGCCTTTGAGCCCTCATCTTAGCATGTTTTGGTCATTGTCTTGACCTATTTGAGCTCTGTCCATGGTTGGTTCATGCATTTGTGTCATGTATTGCA